GTGTCCTGGTGAGACTGTAATGGGCAGGTGCCCTTGGGTCATGAGAGGTAGTGCTGCTGTGAATCACCCTAGCAGGTCTCTCACATTCATTTTGGATGCATTTTCACAGAAATCCTCGATACCAAAGATAAATGGAGTGTAGCCAAGCTCCATTTATTATTCATTTTACAGTCTTTGATATGAAAAAGTGAATAGGCACTTAGTCAGCTAGGAATAATATTCAGAGCTTCCTGTCCTTTTCACTAAGAGCAGCATTGGAGTCCTAGGTGAACAACCCTGTAATACCAAGAGTTCCCAATGCCTGTTAATCACAGTAGAAACTGTCATGCTTCTCTAAAGCCACACAGGCAATTCGGTCCCTCCTCCCCCACACACTGTTGGATAACCACGGTGATACTGTATTGGTTTTCAGCCCTCTTCATGTATATATTACCCCTTCCAAGAAATGTTACAGTATTCTGTTTGAATAGTGAGATGCTAATACTGCTTCCTAGTGCATGGTATTACAGTACTGTGTGTGTGACGGAGTATGTTTATAAGGGTTCATTAGACTGAACTGTGCTGGTGGCAAGTGTATTCGCAGCTCACGGATGTGCAGTACTACATATTGATGTGGATGTAGTTCCATGCTACTGAACAGTAGATGAGTGTGCCTTGCACTTTATATTGGGAGCTCTGCTATGTTGATTGTGATAGGACTAGAGTGCAAATCTAAAGGGCTGTCAGTGAATGAATCCATGTAGTCAGGTAGCCACAGAGCTTATGTTTTGGGCCTAAAAAGTTCGGTGATCATTGGGCCAACAGAAGAACAACAGTGCAAAATGAGGTTCCTCCAAGCCCCTCCTCCCTCTTTATCTACTTCAGTAGCCTCTGAGCAAAATCTTGTGGTTCTCTCCAAAGGGATGCCGCGCACAACACACCTGTCCATGTCAGGACATAATTTTTACCATCTCCCTGATGAACTCTGTGTCTCTGTTTTTATAACCCTCTTTATTGGCCAGTCTGCTCAGATGCCCTTAACAATCTGATTCGATACCAGAAGGGCTCTGAGACACCATTGATTGTAAATCCTCAAAGTTATTTACTTGTGGCATTTATGGGCCAGTTAGTGTAAAAGTTGTAGCAAGAGCCTTTTTTTCTGAACTGGTGGTATCTCCTGCCATAGTTTATTGCTATCTCTGCCCTTGTTTTGACAGGTGGTGAATTTCTTGTGTATTTTCATCTGCCCTTAGCCCTCACTAGCAAGCAGAATTCAGACATTTGTCTGAGCATCTTTGTCCCAACAAGGACTGTCTTTGGGGCAGGGGAACCACCCATAGAGCACAAGGTTAAATGCTTGTACAGAAGAGGCTTAAAAATAACTCACCCCAATGGTATAATAATGTTTCCATAATCTAGAGGGCTCTGAGCCAAAGTTTGCCCTAGGGGAAATGCTCCGTTTGATATGGGTTGGTTTGAAAAGGTTCAGCCCTGAAATTATTGGCGGGCAGAAGGATTATTAGTCTTGTGGTTATTTCATGGCAGCTATTTCTGCCTTCCTGAAATTCCCATGCAGTTTTGGTTGGATACGTTGTTCACCTCCTACACTCTTGTTTCATGTTACCGTACACTGATGTATACCTGCCAGGCTCCACCTCGAGGTAGCTGCATATCAGTGGTGGGCAAAGTGATTTGAAAATCTTGACCCACAGACACACAAGCGGCTTTATTTTGGGTGCCTGACTTGCGTCATTTTAAAGGGGCCAGATTTTCAGACTGCCCATGGCTCAGCATTTCCTGAAAGTCAGGCCTTTTTAAAGAGACTCATACAAAAGCTTAGAACCGTAGTTTGTTAAAACAGCGCAGGATTCTGCTGGCTAGAAGATCATTGTTCCCTTGTGCATGAATGCTCTGGGCACACTCTGGGGTTGTGACACTCTTCCCCAGATTGTTCCATAAGTGAATAATTTAAGGACACTTTAAAAACTAAAAATAGGATTCGCTTTCTGCCACACAGCCCCCAACCTCCTGCCTCTCCCTATATTGGCTCCTGTGGTGTTTGGAATGTGGTGTTTGTTCCTGTTCAAAGCATTCTGCTGCACTGTGACTAGTGGGGGGTTTCTCTGCGCTCAATCCATGTGGCAGTTAATGGTTTGAGGAGTTCAGCTGGACACGGAAAAGGCTGTTGCAGGAAGCTTATTTACAGGCTGCTTATCAAAGCAAGTGCGGATGGTGTTTAAATGGCCTATGGATAGCTCACCTTACTGAGTGCAGATTTCTTTCTGGCAGCATTTCTGGTGGGGGCAGTTTAATCCAAATGAAACCTAGTTTCATTTAGAGCAAATAAAGCTCACTTTGGTTGGAAGAGGAACTGGTTGACAGGTGGGGAGGGTGAAGCAGGCACCACATCTCCATCCTGTTGGGCCCCCTCATGCCTCCCTGTACTGCTGCCAACAGGGATTGGGATTAAAGGTAAAATGCAGAGCCTCCTGCGCTCTCACTATCACAGTAGTTTGCTGGTCGTTACAAAGATGGGGGTTAAAAATGTGCACAGCAAACTCTAGCAGCTTGATTGCTAAAGCAGAGTACCTCTGCATCTAAGTATAAGGAGATTTCCCCCGCCTCACCCTTGAAAGGAAGGGAGTGGAAGGAGGGGAAGGGAAGGATATTTTGGTGACCATCCCAAAATCATTTAGTAGGGGGTCACAAAGGAGAGGAGCACAAGCTAAGCCTGCAACCATAGCCAGGACTTGGTTCAGCATAGGGATGTAAGCGGCTAGTCCCTCGACTAATCGCTCCCCCTCTTGTTGCCTCTATCAGAGGCAGAGGGGGAGGAGCAGGAGCCCGTGCTGGAGAGAGCCAGATTAAAAGCCCGTTCTTTCCAGCACCCTCTCTGTGGGAGGCAGAGGGATAGGGGGGACCAGATGTGAGCTGGGAATCAGCTGATTCCCAGGTTGCACCCAATCCCAGGATGCTGCCTCTCTGCTTTTTAAATGTATTAAGAGCTTGCTGACTCTCAATACATTTAAAAGGCAGAGCCACAGTGGGGTTAGCTCCTGGGGGCTGGGAGCTAACCCTGCTGTGGCTGCCCCGCTTATCGACTAGTTGATGAAACTAAATTTAACATCTCTAGTTCAGCATGCAATGATTTAGAATTGTGGCGAAGTGACAGTAAATTTGGCAGTTTCATGCTTACCTCCTGGTGGTGTGATTTCAAGCTGTATCTGCTTCCTTCCCTGACAGGTTTTCTCTTGGCAGCCACTCTTGGTAATCCTGTTCACATGAGGGACCAGCATGGTGCTTGATGGCCCAGGTGTGGCTGGGGGTTGCTAAGCAGCAGAGAAGATTGGGGGGCACTTAGCCTTTTCCCCTGTGTTTCCTTAAATGGGACTTTTCTGAACTAGAAAATCGGTGGCTTTAGTTCTAATGTGCTTTTGGAAAACTCAGTCTGAGCTTCCGGGAACTGTCCTCTTCGCCCATAGAGCTCTGCAGTTGCCAGCAAAGCAGTGCCAGTCAGACCAACAGCAGAGAGTGGTGTGCTGATGTGACCTGGCCTCCTTCGGATTCTTTGGAGTGTGTATCCAGTGGCATTTTAGCTAAAGTGATGAAATATTAAAGCACCTTAATAACACAAATCGAGGCTTTTTAGGAACATAAGAATAGCCACACTGGGTCAGACCAAAGGTCCATCTAGCCCAGTCTCCTGTCTTCTGACAGTGGCCAATGCCAGGTGCCCAGTGGGAATGAACAGAACAAGGAATCCTCAAATAATCCATCTCCTGTCGCCTATTCCCAGCTTCTGACAAACAGGCTAATAGCCATTGATGGACCTACTTTACATGAATTTATCTAGGGTTTTTTTGAGTCCTGTTATAGTCCTGGCCTTCAAAACATCCTCTGGCAAGGAGTCCCACAGGCTGGCTGTGCGTTGTGGTGTTTTCCAGCTGACCAAGGTGCCCTCACGCCACTAGCACATATTCTCTTCTCTTTAACCATGTTTTGTTTCTTTTAACCAAACTTTCTACTGTAGGTCCCTTTTCCTGAGAAGCCCTCTGCGAAAGAGCAGAGCTTTGCACCTGGCCTTGACTGCTCCTTTGGCCTGGAAAGTTACTGCCAGCTTGAGTCTCCCATCGTTCTCGAATTTACTCTGAATTTCACAGCTACGCTTAGAGTTGCTTGTATATGGAAATCCTTCTAAATATTTAAAGGAACATGCTCAGATTTTTTTTAAATACTCATGCATTGCAAGTAACATTCGGAATAATTAAAACTGGGTTCTGTACCATTCTCAGAAGCATGTTAGGTGTTGCATGCAAGAAATGAAGGGCACGTTCACTGGCTTTGGACAATGAAAGAGGACAGGTCTGTTTCTTCTCTCTTGAGTGTTTTTAACACTGCTGCGCTGTCTGCAAACCCTACTGGTGGTCTGAGAACATCACCGCACCCTTTATGGAAACTATTTTGTTTTCTCTTTTGGGTGCTTGTTTTTCAGTTAAAACTACATGACAAGATTTGACATAGTTTGGTAACTGGCGATCTTCTGATGGTGGAGGATGCTTTGTCCATTAACTGAAAGGAGGGAACAGTAAAAGTACATTTCCACTGAAAAGTCCCTTCTTTATATTGGTAGTTATTAGAGTCACACGTTACTTGCTGTACACTAGCATGTAAATATAAATCAAATCACCCCGGTACCATTCAGAGAATATACAAAGATAAACAGATTTAGCAATTAATGCAGCTTGAAAATACATTTGACTGTCAGTTTCGTTGTTCAAAAATGTAATTAACCAAGTAGGAAATAAAATAAATTTAGTCTCTTCCTCCATAACACTGTTCAGTTTACAGTGTGAGTTGGACAGATCTGTGCTTTAACACCCTTTGACCAGCATGTAGGTAGACAAGGCCTCCTAAAGCCTCGACTATGACCTGCCAATAGGAGATGGCTGCAGACTCCAGATTGTCATTCTTCTAGCATGGTTTGCAAAGGAGATTGATCAGAATCGTCCTCTCTTCTCCAGGTGGCTGGTCTGACCCTGCTAGCAGTGGGGATTTACACTGCCAAGAATGCTACAGGAGTTGCAGGGCGGTATATAGAGGCTCGTCTGGGCAAGCCCTCCCTGGTGAGAGAGACTTCGCGCATTACTGTGCTAGAAGCACTCAAGCATCCCATCACGGTAAATACCATCAAGGTCTGACAGTGTGAGGCTGGTAACCCCACACTCACTGGGAATGCTTATATTTGCATAACTTTTTTATCAGATAAACAGGACAGGGGATGCTGTCTCAGTTGACAGTTTCCAGTCCATTCTCTGGGGAGTGATAAGCATCTGGACTGCTTAGACATACTGACATCTCTCTGCCTATTATTTTTATCATGATCTAAGCTAGCTTGCTTTTGCACTGTGACTGGATTCTTCGGGCAGGTGACTGAATTGGTAACTAATCTCCTCTTTCTCAGGTTGGCAAGCGTCTTACCAGCAAGGCTCAAGATGCCCTTGAAGGAGTGGTTCTCAGTGTGAGTATTGGCTTTTGCTATCTCTGTCTGCACAGAATCTTAAGTGACTTTCTTGGTGTCTAACCATCAAAGGTTCCCTCCTGGCTTTTATTTTAAATTGTTAGAGTTCAGTAGTACAGGAAACATAGCACTCTTGGGGCAACCCAGATGTAAAGAAGCTTCTGTGTTCAGCATGGGCCACATTAAACACCTTGCTAACCTTTGATCCCTCTGTACGGAGCAATTGGAAGTCTTGGGTCAGCACTTCTGTCAATATGATTTTCTCCTTAGTCAACATGTTAATGTGACAGTATATTTGGTCTGAGTTCTACATGTCATAGTAGCCTGGATTCTGAAAGGTTCATGTCCATTATCCATCCAAGAAAGTATCCTTATTAGCTAAAGCTTTGCTTATTGGCTGTGGCTTGAGTTTGAAGTAATTAGAACTTTGAAATATAATAAATCCTAAAGCAGGAAGAGAAACTACTTAAGTCCAAGCCAATAAGCTGCAGGAATTCAGGCTAAAAACTCATCATACCTAAGACTCCAACCCTGGTCTTTGCATACAGCCCAATGGCCATCTGCTTATACCATTATGCGATGTGTACAGTTCTGAGTATCTGATTTCTCAACCTCAACTTTTCTCCTCTTGCAGCCCAAGCTGGAGGAACGTGTGAGAGACATCGCCATAGCAACAAGAAATACAAAAAAGAACAAAAGTTTGTACAGGAATATCCTTATGTACGGCCCCCCAGGTACTGGGAAGACACTCTTTGCGAAGGTAAGACTTTGCCAAGATTCTAACAGCCCAGCTGTTGTAGGATATACCTTAAAAATCCACAGTGTTATAACTATGCCTCTCTGGCCTGCAAGCAACTGCTGTAGTTTCGTTACGCCTTGAGGTGTGTGTGTGTGTGTGTATGTATGTGTGTGTGTGTAGTAGGGGACTGGGACACTGAAGGAGGAAGAAGGGACATTCACTTTACAGCACTTGACTTTCTGCTCCGGGTTAGACAGTCCAATGATTTGGATTCTAGAGTTCAGCATAGAGAGAGAAACTGTTCCCTCGGGATTGGCTGATAGCATGAAACAGTCTGTGCGTGCCACTTGGCAGGCATGACTTGTGAAATGCCAATGCCAGCCCTGGTTTCTCATTTCCACCTCTGTTAATCATGTTTGACTCATCATCGGGGCTTTCCTGTTGCTTATTAACTCATGGGGTTGGGAGCAGGAGGGCTGGATAAGTAGAAATTGTTCTGTCTGCCCTGTCAATGTGTTTCATTTTGTCCGGCGTTTACTCTAATGCACATAAAAATGGCCATAGTGGGTCAGACCAAAGGTCTATCTAGCCCAGTATCCTGTCTGCCAACAGTGGCCAATGGCAGTGCCCCAGAGGGTATGAACAGAACAGGAAAATCCAGTGATCCATTCTCTGTTTGTCATTCCCAGGCTCTGACAGATGAGGGACGCCATCCCTGCCCATTCTGGCTAATAGCCATTGATGAACTTATCTTCCATATACCTATCTTATTATCTCATCTAGTGTGGTGGGTGGGGGATTTTGGGTTTGTTTGTTTTTTGCGGGAACCCTGTTATTCTTGACCTTCACACCAAACAGCACCCAGCTATCTCACAGCAGCTCTGATAGGTGGAAAGGCCTCTTTAATTTAGATAATGGATTTTACTTTTGCTCTCAAAGCCCCAGGGAAATCTTTCTCCCAACCCTGATAGTTGTTATTGAATCATAGGGTTGGAAGAGACCTCAGAAGATCATCTAATCCAAACCTCTGCTAAAAGCAGGACCAGTCCCAACTAAGGCATCCCAATCCGGGCTTTGTGAAGCCGGGACTTAAAAACCTCTAGGGATGGAGATTCCACCACCTCGCAAGGTAACCCATCCCAGTGCTTCACCACCCTCACAGTGAAATAGTTTTTCCTAATATGCAACCTAAACCTCCCCCACTGCAACTAAAGACCATTGCTCCTCGTTCTGTCATCTGTCACCACGGAGAACAGCCTCTCTCCATCCTCTTGGAACCCCCCTTCAGATAGTTGAAGGCTGCTATCAAATCTCCCCTCACGCTTCTGCAGTCTAAATAAGCCCACATCCCTCAGCCTCTCCTCATAAGTCATGTGCTCCAGCATCCTCCTCATTTTGGTCTCCCTGATGCAGGAGGGTTTAGATCCCTTCCAAACTCTTTTTTAAATGTTCTAGATCAGGATATTCATATCCATATAAACAGGGCTCGACAATTAATATAATCTACTCTCCCATGGCGAGTAGATTACAAGCCGGCACCGCTGCACAGCGCGGTCTGTGCATGCGCAGTGTACAGAACCTCATGGCAGCTTGGTGAGCCCTGCATATAAACATCCAGTCCTTTCTGAATCCTGCTATGCTCTTGTGCCAGTGAGTTCCACAGGTGCTTCATGCTGTGGAAATGTCATTCCTTTTCAGTTTTTTGTCACCTTTGTGTTTCATTGACTGTTCCTAAATTCTTGCATTTAGAGCATCCAGTCACCAAGCCAGTTGTATGAGTCGGAGACTGAACTAGCATCTTATCTCTTGAGATGAGCTCTCAGGTTTGGAGTTGATACACTGCTAGGGCTTGACTGTCTCCACCATTGCTGAATGGGTGTCTGTAAAAATAAAAGCTTTCGAGTGTTCCTGAGAGAATACATTTCACAAACATTACATTTAGTTGTAGTGAAAGACGACATTATCACAGCAGGAGCCTTCTTTTCCTTAGCCTGTGACACCACCAGATAGTCCATTATGCCTGTTTGGATTGACTGTCACTCGTGATTAACCGTGGTGGGGTTGTGTGGCACTGAATCCACACTTTGCTGCCAGCCAGAATTCCCCAGCACCTGGATCCAAAGACCCTGCGTGCTTAGACTTGTTCTTTTGTCTTTAGGCGGTAGCATTGGGCACATGGGTGCTATAACTAAAATATGGGCGAATAACTGCTGAGCAGTGGAGCTGCAGCATGGGAGTTATAAACCTTCCCAAATAGCAAAAGGAGATGCTGCCAGTGCCGTAGGAAACTAGCTGCTGTTAGAATTCATCTGCTTATCTCGACTTCATTGGTTGTAAAGTCTAGCGATGGATCAGCTGTCAGAATCTCTCAGAACAAGTGTGGACCAAACACACCTCTAGTATAAGGGGACATAGGCCTACCAGCATGTTATTTAACAACTCGATGGGAGGGAAAGCATCAGTTGTGATCTCCTCTAAGGAAATAAGCCCTGTTCTTGTAGATCTCTTGCCATCTCAAGCTCCTCGTGGTAGTCAGGGGGTCCTAACAGGTCTCCTGCTCCATCAGTTATGAAAACCGTCTGTGTGCGTGTGTGCACCTCCTGTATGTCGTGTTGACTTTGCGCGGGTCAACACAGCAGACTCTGTGAGAGCCCGCAAAACTTACAAAATCAGATATGGATCAATGGCACCAGGCCAGGTTTATTGTCAAAGGAAGTACAATAATAGTTGTCAGTAGACTCCACTGAACCACTGTGCATATGTACCCTCTGACAGTGGCCCAACCCAGTGCCAGGAATGTGACACTGCCCCTTCAGTTGGACAAAGACAACTCTTTGGGGTACATTTTTATACACAGGCACAAACAAGTTACACATCACTCCTCATGTATCAGGTTGCCACTCTCTTACGTTACCAAGATACACCCATTACTTTGTACACAGGGGTTTGATCCCTGTCTGTCGTGCTGTCAGCTTGGACCCTGTCCTGAACCTGGGTCAGTACGTTCCTGTTCTCTGTGGGGAGTGTGGTAGTAGCAAGATATTCCTTTACTAGGTGTTCTGTTATGACCCTTCTGGAATGTGCTGAAGGCCTGTGCCTAGTAGCTCTGAGGTCTGAGTGTTTCTGTAATGTTGGCCGTGTTCTTGCCAACTTCTGTGAGCAGGACCTGCCTCTTGCTCACAGCTTCACTCCGCTTCGTATTAGCCTCATATCTGGCCTGTAATATGTGGACTTCTGATTCAGGCCCTCATCTTACTACACTCCTATGGTCCCATGAATGGGAGTTGGGGAGAGAAATCTGCACCATCTTGATGTTCACATCTCCATTATGCCCTCCTGTCCCCCTCCTCTGAGCAAGTGTGTACGGTGCTCTTTCGGGTAGCACTTCTACGCTGGGAGACACCATCCTGGGAATTCGGAGCCCCCCTTGTGCTTTCTTGAAATGTCCAGGGTTTTTCTCCTCTTTGGATACAATTCTTAAGGTATGAAATCAGTCTTCTAGTTGTGTCCTGTAATTTGGGTCATTTCTTCCCAACAAGAATGGCATAGTACTTGTCAGTGAAGTTGGCTATCCTTTCCGAGGTGAAGCGTGAGGTATTAGCCCTGGACGTGGATGTCCACTCTCCACAGAACAGGTAAAGCTGAAGCAGCAGCTATGAACTCTTGCTCATGCTGCTCCATTGATCTTCTTCAGTCCTGTCCTCTAGGGGCCACTGTGTGTGTTTCCCTAGCCCGTCTGATCATTGGCCGGTTGTGGGTGGCTTTTGTCATGTGGCCACCCATCCGCTGGGAAAGAGGTTGGAAACCACTGACTTGTATCCCAGCATCAGTGTTCAGAGCGGTTTTACCAGAACACAGCAGTTCCATGAGCTCACTCTTCCGCAAACAACAAAAGATGGCAGCACGGAGTAACGTGACTGGATTTTCTGCCTCATGCAATGTAGGGCTCTGTGGGTCAACAATCTGCTAAGTAGCTGTGTGGGGTGGCAGGATGTCAATGCCGCAGATGTGGCTCTGAGCTCCCAGCACTGTCAACCTGATTCAGAACACTTTCAATATTAGCAGCGGGAGCTGGGTGATTTTAATGGACAAAGCAAAGCTTTTTTCCCCTGCTTCCTGCTGCCCAGCAATTAATTGGCCGGTACAGCTAAGCCTGTTTCACTGGAGATGGGAAGGTGTTAATGGTGTCGGTGGCTGTGGCTGTCACTTCCCTGCATGAGCTGCCTTGTTCACTTGCTCCTTCAGGTAACTTCCTTCGGCTGACTCAGCAGAACGGGGTGGCAAAGAACTGGGCTGGCTATTTGAGCTCTTTCCTTAATTCAGCCTGCTCCAGGCTGGGCTCCCTCAAGCTGCTCTTTGCCACCACCTCCTGATATGGGGCGTGGGGGAGGGAGAGGCGCTGTCCTAGCCCAGAGGGTCTGTGTGGAACGGGTGGTCACATGTGCATGTATCTTGTGACAGAGTCCTTGTGTGTTGGGGACAGACTGAACAATTGACTAAGCCCCTCTGTTGCTTTTGGGCATGGGCAGTTGCAGGCTAATCCCCTATCAGCCTCCCGTATTGAGGAAATTTGGGAATTAATGTCATGGTCTTGAAATCATGGGTTGAGCCCTTCAGTAACTCAGCCAGAGCTTAGGGGTTTACCTCAGGTGTGGATGAGCGAGGTTCTCTGGCCTGCAATATGCAGGTCGGGTTTAGAGGGTCATGATGGCCCCTTCTGCTCTTAGCCTACAGCTCCAAAGCTTGGGGGGTGAAGGGAGACTCTCCTGGTTCTCTGGTTCCATGTCACTTCCGACCTGCTCCATCAACACAGGCTTCCAGCCTGCCTGGGGGTTGGGCTAGCATTCTGTGATTTAGCAAAACCACCGCAGATTTTCCCCTCACTTCCAGGCTTGTGGCATAAATTCCTGACCCACTCCAAAGGTTTCTTCATGACACCAGGCGAGGGACTTGTCAGGCATTGAAGACAGCCTACAAAAGGGAAAGGAAAGTTCCATAACTTCTTTAGCCTTCAGACTAAATTAAATAGTCGTCGGTAATCCAGGTTTATAACTCCACCAGCAAACAGAGAAGTGCAGAGCTTCATCCCTCATGGATTATATCACTCTAACCCCAAAAGAACTAGTTGAAATTAGGGCTCCATTATGTTGCCCAGGCAGGAAAGGAAGAGTCTCTGCCCTGAAGCCTTTACAGTCTAAACAAACAATGCAGAGAAGGGGACACAAAAGGCAATGAGAAGGTGGGGAACTGAGGCATAGAAAGGTTAAATGAGTTGCCTGACATTGACCTTCTGGTGTCCGGTTCTTAAAAAACAAACAAACGGGGGGACGGGAAGAGGATATCAGATTGGAAAGGATTCAGAATTGCTCTGAGAATTATTTGACTTTTGGAAAAGCTTCTTTACAACTGTAGTTTCACAGAGAGAGAGAGATGACTTGACCAAGATGTGCAAATACTAAGTGAGAAGATGTGTTTTATGGCTCTGATCTAGCAGGCAAAGGTACAACAAGATCCCTGGTTTGGCGGCTGAAGCTAGATATATTTAGGCTACAAGTCAAGTGAACATTTTAACAGGCAGGGTAATAACCATTGGAACTCACATGGGCTTTAAATCAAGATGGGATGTCTTTCTAAGATATGTGCTCCAGCTGAAGCAGAAGGTCTGGACTTAATGCAGAAGTGACTAGGTGATCTCTGGCCTGTGCTGTGTAGGAAGTCAGACTTTAGGATTAGAATTAGTCCCTTCTGTGTTTTAAAATGTGTGAATTTGGATCTCCTAAGTCTGCCCTCATGGCTATCCATTCTGCCTTCCGTCCTTTTCCTGAAAATACTCTGCTCGTGCCCCCTGTGATTTGAGAGCAGCGTTTAGTACTACTCGGACTTTCCTTTTTGATCAGCAGAGCAATTTACTAGCATTAATATTCCCTTTACCCAGTTGAGGAAGGTATTCCCAGAATTTCACAGGTGGGCAAATGAGGTGGAGAGGCTCTGACATGTCCCAAGCCATGGATGATGTCAGTAATTTAACACTCTTGCGCCGCCTTGCTCTGTACTATGCAGTAGAGAGAGAACATTTCAATCACCACTCACAACCTCTTTGCTCTTCCTTCTTTCTGTTTTCCAGAAATTAGCCATGCATTCCGGCATGGATTATGCCATCATGACAGGTGGCGATGTCGCCCCCATGGGGCGGGAAGGAGTTACTGCCATGCACAAGGTCTTTGACTGGGCTAACACGAGTAGGAGAGGGTAAGTAGGAATGCCACTGGCATCTGAGCTTTGCCTAGATCCTTTATCTTGCACGGGGGGACCTAGTGGAATGGGAGTGTGTAGTGCCCAAGCCTTTAGCAACAGTATGTCTGTACTTCAGTCTCAGTGGATGTACCCTCATAAGCTTTAGGCTGACTGGCTTGGGCCCTACTTCCAGCAAAGCTGAGGCAGCAGTAGCTTCAGTGAGCACAGGATCCCAGGTCACTTAGGTACCTACAGGTGCTTCTGGGACTGAGTGGAAACTCTTAACGGACCAGGTGTTCCTTCAGCCGTCCCAAATCGTACCTTTTAATAGTGACCTGCACGGAGGAGCCCCCTGCTGCTGCTTAACGAGGTATAAAGGGCTAAAGGAGCCCTCCCCTCCCGACCCCCTCAGTCAGAAAGAATAATATTCAGTTTGCTTGTTACCTGAGGCTTCTCCGGGATGCCAGGCCTATCTGGACAGTCTTCCTAGAGGAACAGAGAACTGGACTGAGACCTCTGTTCCTGGGTGAAGAAGTGGGAGGGGTGAATCCAAGAGCTTTTCTCCTAAGAGTGTCAGTGGTTGCAATTAAATGTTAACAAAAATTGAGCCATGTCCAGGTTTTAGAGCAGGGGTGGGGAACCTACGGCCCGCAGAGCTTCCCCTACCACAGAGGGGTGAACTGGCGCCGTTGCTAGAGCCTCAGGCCCAATCAAGGCAAGCCATGGGCAGCATCTGGCCTGTGGACTCTGCCGGGAGGGGGAGGAAGTGGCCCTGCACGCTAGGGATGGTAGATGTCAAGTAATAGGATAGTTGAGTAACTCCATGAATTCTTATTGGTTGCTTGACTATTCTGTAGTTCCCAAAGGCGGGGCTGGCAGCCAATGCACTCTGCCACCACTCCCGGGGAGCCCTCTGCCACACCATGCTGCGGGGTTGCAAGCAGGAGCCAGTCTGCGAGGGGAGCCAGTTTAAAAAACAGCTCCCCATATAGACCAGCTGCCTGCCGCCCTGCTGCCTCTGATAGGTAGCAACATGCAGCCCTTGTCTGTGGGGTACTGAGCTTGCTGCTGACAGAGGAGATGCAGAGCAGCCTCTGTCTGCGGGAAGCTCGGACCCCCCACAGACAGGGGCTGTTTCATGGAGGCTTCTACTTCCCCCGTCCTGCTGCTGCTGACTCTGATAGAGGCAGCAGCTTGGAAGGTGGAGGGCAGCTGGCACTGCGGAGCCAGTGCTGGGGGAATCTGCTTTAAGATGGCTCCCCCCAGCGCTGGCTCCTGCTTCTCCCCCCCCCCCCCCCCCCTGCTGACTCTGATGCAGAGGGTAATGTGACTAGTCAACAGATTAGCCTAGGCTTATCGGTTAATTGTCTAATTGGCATCCCTTCTGCACAATGTAGGGAAGCGCTCCCTGCAGGCACTGCCCCCATCACTCCCATTGGCTAATCATCACTCCCCTGGATCCCGCAAAACTGCGTGGAGCTACCTGTGCACCACTCCCGCCTAGATCCCTCACCCTCAGCCCATTCCTGCACCCTCCCTCCTGCCCAGACCCCACACCCTCCCCCCGAACCACTCCTGGGCAGTCCCCTCCTGCACCCTCTACTCCTCGTTTTTGGCCTGGGGGCCCCATGATCTACTAGCCTCAAGCCACCAGAAGAGTTAATCCAGCTGTAGGCCATAAACCCTGAGCCTTGATGCCTCCTCCTCTACCCCTGGGACTGGAGCTTGATGGGTGTAAAGGGAATTTATTTTTTTCCTGTTTCTTAGGGGTTTTTTCTCTTTCTCACTTGAGGAGGCCAAGTCACTGAGGGTTATGTTTTGCTTCTCACTTGCATGTGGCCCCAGATTAAATTTTTTTTCCCCTGTGGGTCAGTGGTCCCCACCTCTGTTAGAGAATCTAGTAATTCCCTCCCCTTTCTGTTTATCAAGTTACAGGCTGTTGTGGTGTCATGATCTCCCTGCTTGTCTGGTTCTTTTGCCAATGAGCTTCCATCAAAAACAGGGAATTCTGTTCCTGATATTTGTAACAAGGAGAGGAGGAAGGAGGGAAATCCATTTCACCACATGGTGCCTTCTTGATCAGTTTGTGTCACAGTCTGTCTTTCCAAAATCCCTTTTACAACAAATAGTCTGGAGTGGTTCTTTCATTGATGCTAAATCCCCACTTTTGAGTCTTGAGAGAGCACCTTGCCAGTCTGTCTGCGGGGATGTGCATTGCTTTGTGCGAGTGGCAGCCAGGCATGAAGCCGCTATCCCTCTGTGCACCTATGCCCTCTCCCGGCATATTAAAATCCAATCGCGGCCTGGGAGCAGTCTTATTTTGCTGCTGTGCTATTTTGCAGAGTGTAAGCCTTGCGTGGAGAAAGCTAATTGGTGACTGATGTGCACTGCGATTGGTTCAGACAGACACTTTCGTGCCATGTCCATACTGATACTCTGCTGTGTTCCTCACCAAAATGTTTTAATTTCCCCCCCAAAGTCGATATTTAAAGCTAGCAAAATAAACTTCCCTGAATGGAGGCTGTAAAGGGGAGGGGAGG